TAGGGTGAGAGAGAGAATGATAAAAAAAAAGAAGGCTTAGCTATTAATATAGGTAGAGAAAAATCTGGACCATTGGATGTAAAATTTGCTATATGTAACAAGGGGATAAGCTTCAATGATTATAAAAGGGGCTTACTCACCCATTAAAAAACACAAAGAAAAATCTCAGAGACATTGCCTATATCACTAGCTATCCTGAAGTTTTACAGTAAAATTTCTTTTATATCTTTCTCTCACTTTCATTTTATAAATATTTGTTCTTCATGTGAGAGTGCTTTGTGGGGAGTTTTCGGGTAAGTAGTGGGAGGTTTTGGATCCTTTCAGTTTAGGGAGGTGTGTGTTGGGAAGTTTTGGTTCATCTCTAGAAGTATAGTTTGTATTTCTTTATTTTTTCTCTTTTTTACTTTGTATCTTTAAAGCTTTGCTCTGAAAGGTATTTTACCGTTAAAAAAAATAAAAATAAAGAAAAATAAAAAATAAAAAATGCAAGAGACAGTTGAGGGGTCCAAGAGAGTCATGAAAAAATTGAGGTAGAGGTAGAAGTAGAGAGACAGTCGAGGTAGTCCACACTCCACAACGGTGGAAGAGACTATTGGGGTTGGTGCAATCAGAGAGAAAAGTAACAAAGTGAGTGGTTTTGGAGACAAAGTCTTGGGTGAGGGAGAGAGTGCAGATAGAAAGAGAGAATTCAAGATTAAAAAAAGAAAAAGATGAAAGAACGGAAATATAGTCATCACCTCCTTGAAATAAATAAATAATCACCACAAGGGTGATTTGTCGTAACTGCACACTAATTATATCCAAATATCTGTTAAAAAAACATAAATTGCATTGCTCAAATTTTCTTATGGCTTCTCATTCAACAATAGTTTCTCGCATCAAAGGTATGCTTAAACATAAATTTGTGCACGACCTTCTCGTAATGTCAGATTTCAACAATTTAATATGTTTCTTTTTTACCCAAATACTTGTTTTAATATTTTTATTTTTTTACCCAAATACTGTAGGGTTGCAACCTTAACAAACTTTTCCCATTGAATATTCTTTTATCTTAGCTGGCCCTCATAGTTAGCAAGTCGTATAATGAAACAACATCACCCATACTAAAAAGACATTATTAGGTTAACAAAAAACAAAAACAAAGTAGTAGGATTAATTTTAAAAGAAAAAAAGAAGAAGCAAAGATCATCTATATAATTGAGGTTAATAAAAATACCAAAACTTGATAATAAAAATACCAAAACTTGAAAATGTCAATGGTCCATCCAAATTATTGTGTTGTATATACCAATAAAATATGGGTGCAGTTTCTATAGGGATGCAACCTTAATACAATCAAGGCACCCCTTAAAATTTCGTAATAACATGTACTTTCGTTGTAAAAAATTCTCAGTATTATCTTAAAATCTATTTTTATACCTAATTAGAAAACTTTAAATTCTAAAAATGGTTAAAATCAAATAGATCTACAAATATGAAAATCTTGAAAATGGAATTTTTAAATAATGTGTTGCAAGATGCATTATTTTCGGGACTCAAAAACTTTTTTTTCATATTCATACATCTCAAATGTCGATGATCGATTAAAAGGTTTTTTCAACATTAAAACAATATTTCCGATAGATTTTTGAGATGCATATGTGATTCTACGTTTTAAGGTTACAACTTTATATAAACTTTTGTCATAAAATAATACAACATCCAAAAACGACATAGACATATGCAGTCAAACTTCTATGTAGAAGTAAAGAAACGCAACTTTATATAAATTTTTCCCATAAAATAATACAACATCCAAAAACGATGTTTGCAGTCAAACTTCCACGTTTAAGAACAACCCAAATATTCAAACCTCATCCTGAATTCATTTCATTAGTAACGATGCTCTCTTACTCTTTGTAATGATGCTCTTAGTTTACTTAAAGAGATTTCATTGGTAATTCTACATAGTATTTTGAAATAGTGCAATATTGTAAAAGAATTTATGGGTGAAAATTTTGTATGGAGTTCTTATTGAGTTGGGCTCGAGTGATTAGCAGCTAATTTAATTTTGTAGTGCAATATCTCAAGTTCAATTTCCATTACTGAACTACCAAAGAAAACATATTAATCTCAAGTCACTTTTAATATTCTCATCTCCAAATTCCAGGATATTAAATCAAGGAGGATAAGTTTTTTTAAAAAATTATTTTGAAAAAGACAAAATTCGAATTTAGGGTGTTCTCAACAAATTCTAAAAACTAAAAAAAAGACAACTTTTTGAAGAAATCGTGTTTTAATCATAGACTTGCTAACGGTGAATGGCCCTACAGTGGCAAAATTTTACTTCTAACCAAAAAAAAATCAAACGCTCTGAAATTTTTCAACCCATAACGATAGATTTGCAACAAAGAACACACAAGGATTCTGTCAAATGTCAAAGGCAAAGAACAAAATGAAAGATCAATACATTAAAATAAAACCCCAAAGGATTGTGTCAAATGTCAAAGAACAAAATGAAGAATCACTAGACTAAAATAAAACCCCAAAAATAACTGACCAATAGATTAAGAAAAAATACAAAGGATGGGTTAAAAAAAAGGGCTCAGTGAGTTGCCTATGTGCTCAAAGAAGAGCTTCCAAAATAGAGAAGCAACTCTCATACAAGAGGTGTCAGAATATGCATTAATCATCATGGCCGGTCAAAGTTGAACTCAATGAAATCAACAATAAAAGAAAAGAGGACACAAGAACGAATAGAGGAAAAATAAAATTCTAAAAACTAAACATAGAGAACAGAAAGCCTCCATTCCATTAAGAACATAAACAAATGAAAAGGGAAAAGAGAGGAAAATGCAGGAGAGGTAATAAGAGGAAAGAAAATAACGGCAAAACCCCACTAATCAAAAAGAGAGAGAGGGAGGTTCCCAACAGAAACCCCAAAGCCCTAATATAGAGAGAGACGTCCCCAACAGAAAACCCCAAAAACCCTAATCGAGAGAGGGGAGACAGAAAACCCTGAAACCCTAATCGAGAGAGAGAGACAGAAAACCCTAAAACCCTAATCGAGAGAGAGAGACAGAAAACCCTAAAACGCAAATAGAGAGACAGGGAGGAGGGGAGCAATCCCTGAACCTGAACGAGAGGGCAAGCCTTCGAGGGCTAGTGAAAGTTTATAGAGACGCTGTTTTAGAAATGACAAAAGTGCCCTCATACAAATGTGGAGGGCACTTTTGTATGGGTCAATGGGAGAGTCTCCGGTCCATGACATGTGGACGACAACGGTTCAGATTAAACAAAGGCCTCATCTGATGGCCACAAACTAATTTTTTATCTTGATTTTTTATTTGAAGATGATTTTTATCCTATAGTTAAGGCATAGATGTATTTTCGTATAATACTAAATAAAATAATAAAATCTTATTTGGAGCAAAAAATTTGACTAGAATATCTCTAAATTAATTTAGGGTATTATTCTTGTGTGCAAAAATATTTTTCATTATTTTATGCTGCACCATATAAAAATACATCAATACCTCAAATCGTATAAAGAAATTATTTAAATAATAGTTAAAAACATACAAAATAAATTTTTTTTTAGTTGTTGCAAAAAAATACAAAATAAAAATACATCAAGCCATTAAAAGGTGCTTGTGCACCCTCCAACCATCCAAGCATGCATGCGGATGCTATACCATCCCAACATTCAGGGAGATTTAACAAAGTATACATAAGAGAAAGTATTTAATAATTTGCCCTTTTGAAACTATTCAACTGAAGATCATGCATTATTTTATGGGTATTGTGAAATTAAATTGAAATATACAGGTAAAGGGTTCAATTATTGATCTTATAATTTCATACCTAATATTTATTAAGAAATAAAAGTTTCAAGAATAGAAAAAGCTTAACTGACAAAAGGAAAGTATACAATATGAAATGGAATATGAAAAAGGGTTTGGTATGGTATCTTCGGACGCTGTTGTGATGTCTTCAACTTGTTTTTATTTGCGTTTGGTTTATTTAGTATTATGGAGGTGTCTATGATATTCTTACAAGATGGACTATTTTGAAAATGTAAAATCTCTTTTTCATATCAAGATCTCACTGTCGAGATTATCTTATAAAGAATTTTTTAGCCATAGCTTTTTCTGATGTAATTTTTAGATGCACCTTAATTCTAAAGTATAAAGTTGACACCTTATATAAACTTTCGTTTTTTAGAACATGGTGTCAAGACTTCATCGTACATTTAAGAGATTATGGTGCATAGTATCCATGTGTGAGTAGTGGGGGACCGACTGTCTCAAAAAATCTTAAATGGGTGTTAGGATAGGAAATCAAAAAATCGGTCCGGTCCGAAGAGACCCAAAGGATGACCTACGAAATTTGATCAAATCAAAGAGGTGGAAACATTGCTAATGATATATTGTGTTAAACTAAGACAAGTTTATACTGGATTACCCTGAAATGCCCAAGGCTCGAGCTTCGAAAGATCCAAGAAATTGAAGACTTAATATCAGTTTTTTAAAAAATTATACATATGTGGGTCAAACTTGTCACCCACCATTTCGAGCTGACTCACACCACCCTAGCTAGCTAGCATGTTCCCCAAGGTCTTTTTTATTGGAAAAGAAAAAGCAAAAGAGAAAAAAATGGCTGGTGGGAACCATTGAAAGACAATAGAACATAAGGCCTCAAACTTAAACAGGTACCTCCACCGGTTCCAAGCAGGCTCGAGCAGCTAGGAGTCGGCTCAACAATTTTTGAAACAATGCCCAAGTTAGAACATTGATACACTTTGTAAGCCAACGTTGTTGCGCTCAATTTTCATCGGGAAAAGAGATTTTACGGTTCTATTGGAGATAAGAGATTTGAGTTTAATGGTAATGTAATTAAAAGATGATTGGTAGGTTTTACTCAAAAAAGTGTTTCATAATTAAGAAGGCAGGAAAAACATACTCAGAGCTTGGTTGGGTGTAAATAGAGCTCTCTGTGATCACCATTCAAAAAAGAAAAAAGGCACAGAAATACTATCAGACTTTTGCCATATAAAGCTACCAATATTTACACCAAAATCTTGTGTCCAAGATTCACAGGATCACCAATGTTAGGCTTCCCTTTAACTCTACCTATTTTCTCATTTTTCCTTCTCCAAAGCGGCAATGGAAAATCAAACATGTAACCCCTCAAAGTAAAATGCTTTCTTCCTTCTCAAATTTCAAAGGCTCTCTGAGAATTGAGAGCATCTCTGGAAAGAAGAAGACATCAATCTAGAGAGCTTGGAATTGCTCAGGACTGGCAAAGCCAAGGAGTCACCCTCTCCTTCTCTAAGGATTGTGACCGCCATCTTCTCTTGCAAATCAATGGCTTCTTCGGCTCTAATGATCACACGATCAAAGCAAATGTAGCGTCCACACGCTCCGTACTCCATGTTCTCATACAAATATACATGTGCCTCTGCTGCCATGCTCACATCCACACTAGCAAGCACTCCCTTCTCATACATCTCCCTTGCACCTACATAAATAAACATGAAAATTCTTGCACCTCAAAAAATCTATTAATATGCAGCCAAGAATGATGAAGTGACTCAAGCTTCAGAAGAAAACAGAAAACAGAAAACGGTTTTGGACTAAAACCACTTCCTTTATGCAGTTATTTGTAAATTTAGGTATTTACCTAATTTGTTAAAGAGGCATTGAAGTCATGGTTAACATTTAACCATGAAACAGACAGATGAAATAGCTTGCCATTTCCCATATTCATGTGATTTCTTTATCCAATTGCATGTCAATCCATTATTTGTGATGATTTTCCATTATTTATCCTAGATAACAGTGAAAATAGTTTAAGCCAAAAATTAACGAAAAGAAGAAAATACAGATTAAATTCCAGTTCTTTTTTGCTAAATGTCAAGACACTTCACCCTAAATGGTTGTGCAGTCTGGCAAAATTTAGAACTTCGGAGTATATATTGATACCTTTAAGGTACGCCATGGACCATGTAGAGTTTCTAAGATGAAATGAAGGGCCAGTTATGAGGCCTGGGCAAATGGACACCATGTTCACCTCTCTTTCTCGGGCTTTTCTCCATCCAGCTTTCTCTCCCATTGTCTTTCCCAGTGCAAACCACAGCTGCCATTTTAAGTGATCTTATCAGGACCTAACCAGACCTAAATCGACAACATGAATCACTAGAACCTTTTTTTCTTGGATTGTCACCAAATATATAAATTTTAAAAAAACAATTATTGAAGGTTTTATTTTTTCTTCTTTAATAATTTCAAAATTTGGCCCTTTCTCCCACCTTCTTCATCTTGCAATGTTATTTTCTAGTTTCAGTTGTTTCATTACAAGAATAACGTAGAAAAAATGCGCATTAGAATTTAAATATGACTTCTTCATTTCATTTGTCTTTTTATACTGTTACCTTCTTTTCCTGGCAAACTCTTTCTTCACTCCAACATTTCTCATCCAAAACTGAACCAGACGGACCAGATACTTCTCTCCAAACACAAGCCAAGAGAGAAGATGTAAAAACGCACTTTCTTACTGATGGGGTCCTCGCACATGCCTCGATCACATTTTCCGCAGCTTTTGCTTCTAAATTCACCATATGTTTCTGGAATCACCAACATAATAATGTATGAAGAAGGTGGTCAAGTTTTTCATAAAGTAAAATTCTTTAAATGCCATGATATTGATTGATTTCAAATGCAAAACCCAATTTTATGGCGTTCTTCAAAAAATTTCTTGTCTTTTTGCCTAATCAAATTCCCTGAGCCCAGATTTCAGAGGGTTGAGACTGAAGAGTTCCATTATAGACTAAACCTCTGATCCAAAAGTTTGGATTAATGAAGGGTTCATAACTTCATGGTTAGCTGCAAAAGAAATAATATGAGCACTAAGTGGAACTTAGACGAAATAAAGTTGAGCAGTCATAACCCAACATTTCTATTTCCTTGCATGCATAAGGAATTGGTATTTCCTTGATGAATCAGTAGGTCGAATTTTCCAATTTGTAACCAAGAAAGAAGAGGGGCATTGTATCACATAATGAATGTGAATAATGGAAAATTTGAAATTTGAAGAGCTTTTGCATTTGGAATATCTTACTTGTGATTTAGCCACCAAAAAAAAAACTGACTCACCGAATACCCCGAAATGCCCCCAGGATCAACAAAGGCTGAGGTGTGGAAGACGCCTCGACACCCATTGAAGGCTTCACATAAGCTATCTATCTCCATTACATTTGCCATAACGGCTACCACATCGCTCCTTGTGCCTGTGAACACTTCCATTTCTCTCAACTTTAGCAAGTCCTCTGCAATGCGACAGTGAAATGCAAAACACAAGTTATTTTGGTGCAGCACATCAAAATATCATCAGCTGGTTCTTACCATTTTGACTTAAAAGTACTCTTTGTATTCAATGTCTCTACCTCCTTTTCATTCTTTATTAGGAATCCAGAATAAAGACCTTATTCAAATTTTAACATACCATAACTCATTTTCCTAACTAAGGTCTCAGTTGCATCTCTGAAAGAACTTCTCATTTTTCTAATAGTTTATTATGATTTAGATGTATGGTTTGACCTTAATTAATATGTAACTTATTCTTTTTCTTGGTATACAACCTATATATCGATTTCAATGTTCAAAAACAAGGCCCAGACTTAGGACTCAGCAGGGTCCTTAGTCCAATTCATCCTCACAAACTCGACCAAGTCTGTTAGGGACTCAGCCGAATCTGTAGAAATTATGATACTAAAAAGTAGGAACCGGCCAAATTTAGCCGGTTCCCACTCAGACTCCGCAGCTTGCCAGGTCAGAATAACTCAGGCAAGTCGGAGTGAACTCACCTGGGTTTAGAACACTGATAATAATTGTATTTGTTGGTGCCACACAAAGAAAGGGTGCCCCATTTTTGGTAGGATGGTTACAGTGAGGATATGTAACTAACTCTGATTCAACATTATTATCTATCTTTTCTTTCTTCTCTCACTGCATAAAAAGAAATGAAAGAAAAAAAAAAAATTCACCTTCATTTTCAACTGCAAGGCGCACGGAATAGCCTTTAACGAGCAGCTCATTGGCAATCCAAAGGCCCAAGAAAGAGATCCCACTTGTTATACACACCACTTTATCTTCTGTAGAGCTTGCAATCCTCACCTCCTCTGGCTTTCTATGAAAGGTCCGTAACATACGTTGGAACTCTTCAAGCTCTGCTTTTCGTCTCTCCACTGTTCTCACTATCCCCATTGTTTCTTCTTTCCACAACTATCTCTTTTTTTTAATTACTCCATTCTAAAAAGAAATAAAATAAAGAGAGATTTCTCAATAACTATATAAAGCACAAGCCACTGAAAATTGGAAATATTATTTTATGGGATTCCTAGCTCTTTGGCACTAAATCGGTGGAACCAATGAGACCAATCCAGATCGGGAACCAATCAAGACGGACTTGTTCCATGTCAAAACTGAGAATGGGTCTAATTTTGACACACTTGCCCAGTTTTGTCAGAGAATCCAGCAATCTAGATCGATTTAATCACTCGATTCCCTCATATGTTATTTTTTTCTTTTACTGTTTTTCATCTTTTTATTTTATTTTTATATATTTAAAAAGATTATTCAAAATATTTCTGAGCTGATTCCCATTAACGCCCGGCCAGATAGGCGATCTAGATTGGTCCAACAGGACACTAATCTGGCCTCAAAATCCAGGTTTAAAAACACTTGACATGACCAAGCAATGAAATTGATATTCTTAGGGTATTGGAACACATCCATGATCTATGCAAGTAATGAAGGCATCTAACATTTTTCCCAATTTATTACACTGACGTTACCCAATACGGAAAAAAGCAGAGCAAATAACTGATAAATGCATTAGCCCTCCTCCTAAAAGTTTCCACTTTGTTAGTTGTTACTAATTGCAAGTGGAAAAAAAAATAAAAGGCCTATAGAAAGGAGCAATAGGCTCCTCCTATATGTGCTACTATTAATACCATTAATGGTCATCTCTAGAATCAAACCTTGCTCATCAAAATTCAGTTCAAACCATGCTTATCAAACCAAAAGTTATGTTGTACAAGTAGGCAACTTTAAAAACCTACAACTACAGATGTGGATAGGAAAAATAGAAGGATTCAAGTCAAGAAAAGATGCATCTTGTAATGCTTTATGTGGATTGTTTATTTTCAAGATTTTCATGTCTTTACTGATCTACTTCATCTATATCTTTTTTAGAGCTTTAAATTTCATAGGTAATGGCAAAAATAGATTTTCAAACTATCATAGGGGTTTCTAGCACTGGAATTGTATTTTAGGGCATGATTCCAAGGGACGCTTAATTTAATTATTTAAAGTGCACCTTATAAAAACCACACCCCAAAAAATAAGAATCTTGTCAGACGTGCTTTATAAAGGGAAAACTTTCTATACATCATTAGGTGTAGGGAATTTATATACACTACTTTTTCCCAGCCATCCAATATGAATGGATGGTTGGGAATCTTCAGCCATAAAGCCACAAAGAAACCTCTGCTTGATCTAGATCTAACGTCTTAGACACATCTATTTTGACGTTGTTTTTACAAATCATATAAACATGAAATTTGGTGAGTGTCATCATCTCAATGAGATGCACTTGAAGAAATATTTTTAAAAATTAAATTGACCAAACTACCCTTAAAATTTTTAAGGGTATTTTGGTCAATTTTATTCATCAATTTTTTTTTATATTTTTGGCAGGTGCGAGCTTAAGAGAGGATTGGACACACCCAAATTTGATGTGAATAATATATTTTAAAAATTAAATATAAAATAATATTTAGGTGACATTATGATTGGGGCCATTTCAACTGCCCATTCAAATCACGACACTCCGAAGAGAGGTGGCCTATATAAAAGCTTTCCTTTATATTAAATGAAGAACGTTTGCCCAGTACGCTTTTCAGAAAAAAGAATATCAGGAGTACAGCACATGGAAATAGGGCCTCAACAGTCATGCCTAAGTCCCAATTTTGAAAATGTTATTTGTATTTTTTAACAGTTTTGAGGTCCTTTTCCTGAAACATTTTTGGTAATGTGTCGCTCTCCATAGCCCTGGAGAAGATGTTTGAATCGGACTTTAACCTCTCAAAAAATACAAAAAGAACAATTTTAATACTCAAAAGAATTATATTTACAAAATTTTCATCATAACTTCTTCAGTTATCAAGATTGAAAACGAAAAATAAATTGCCTAAGGTTGTGTAAACTCATCTTCAATGTAAAATATTATGATTAAGGAAAGATTTTGTTAGCCGGTAGGCTTATGGAATAGTGTGAGTCAAGATTTTTTAAGGCCCGAATTGGTGGGGAAGATTGTTTATTCATAAATCCATATTAGATCGCTGGGCCGACATCCCGATTAGGTCTGGATTTGTATAAATCGGTGATCTAAAAATAATAAAAATAAATAAACTAAAATATAAAGAAAAAATAAGGATTTATGGGGTGGGGATTTCAGGCGACATAAAAAAAATTAGACAAACCTAAAAAATGAAAAATGTATGCTTTTTGAGAAGTTGGTTCGGCTTCAATTGATTCCTATCACGATTTGCAGCTAAAATTGAATGTGTGCCACTATGATGGTGGGACACTATTTGGTTTCTAAAATCTTTATAAATTTGATGGATATGAAATTTTTGAGATGCATGCCTCAATTAGATGCACCAAATTAATTTAAAAATACTATAAAAATGAACAAAATACCCTCATCTTCTCCAAAGACATGGCCGGGGTTACTTGGGTACGTCTTTCTTACACATTGCTTTTTTAAGTGTATAAATCATGCCTTCAAAATTATATGGGATTGCATATTAAGAGACCATTTATCTTTTTTACATAGAGCTCACAATTACTCCGAGCCATTAGATATGAAATTAAATGGCTTGGGTGTTATGAAGTTAGAATTTTTTTCTTTGAACTTTTAATTTGGTCAATAATATGATTACAATTACCTAATTTAAAATCTAAATGACAAAAGTGATTTGTGTTGTGTTAAAAATAAATGATCTTTTCATGTACTTTTCCAATTTTTATAACAGTGAAATATAGAAATACTGAAAATAAAAAAGTCTACATAAACATCAGCAATTAATTTTTTCTTCTTCTTTTGATAGTTAACTTAAAACACCAGCAATCAATTAAAATGACTTAGATTCATTATGGGCAGTTATCTCCTGATGGACTGACCACCAACATGATTCCCTCCAATTAATATTTCATTTGAGACAAGGACTACCCGGTCAGGAAAAAAAAAACATATTTTTGTGGAGAAAAATATCCGAGGCAGAAAATTAGGTGTTGGGATGATGGGTACAAGAATGGATCTTATATTTGAACCGTCTTGGAGGAGAATAATGGAAAATAAAGAACGAAATTGAGTGAAAAATATGTGGACCTCTGTCATCAATTATTATTGAAGAAAAATTGCAGTGAGATTTTTGAAAGGGTCTTCCATGTTTGTTAGATAGCTAATTAGCTAAAGATGCCTCTTTTCTGCTAAAAAAAATGATAGAATGGAAAGATGCTTCATATCTACCCTCTGACCAAACTGAACATAGGACGAAAAGGGAAATGGTTTGATAGGGCTGCAGCCCTATCAAAACAAGTAAAATCTCACCTCATAACTCGTTGAAACTTCCAAGAAAACTTTTAAATGTGAACATTATGGTTATGAAAAAAATTAAAATTTCAAATTCTATATATAATGTATATTGCACCAAATCATCTAGACGGTCCAATTTGGACTGGAAATAATTGTTCAAGATTTGTACCATTTTTTAAGTTTCAAATTTATTGATGGTGTTGGAAATTGATTTTAGAGCAGATTTCCCATGCCTTCCAAAGTGAGGCTTTATTTTGTTTTTATAAAGCCTAGGCTTTATAAAAACTTCATCCATACATAAATGTGATCGGCCATGTGGGAGAGGAGAGAAACCCGGATGAAGAAGAGAGAGAGAATAGCAAAAGAAATAGTAAAAAAGGGAACAAAAACAGGTAACAGAGATCTAAGAACACAGAGGAAGGGGAAAAACCAGAAGAGGTAGGTCTCTTGAACCAGTAAACTCATCAATCTATGGGTTTATTTATTTATGTGTTTATTTATTATGTGAAAGGCAAGATTTGTTCAATTTTTTTTGTGAGCGTTGACTAAGAATACACAACACTGTGTACCCACTGCAACAGCATTTGGCGATGAACTACTATTGATAAAGCTCTCTAAATCTCCCCAACATAGCTGAAGAAATCCAAAACTTTTGTCAATCTCTCTCTCTAGAGATGGTTAAGAACAATTGAATAGCCCCTGGAAAACCACAGGATTGAATTAACCCTCCCCATCAATTCCATTCAGCATGATCTAAAATATATTAGAGCTATTAAGACACTGTATTCCTATTCCACAAAAAGACTGGTGTTTCAATGGAAGAATTCGCCCAAGAGAAAACATAGAGAAAAAAAACGAGCTAAATATTTGTTTTGGGAGCTAAAACAAGCATCCAAATTTAAGATCCATGCAATCTCATAAAAACCCACAATGATTATGTGCTAATATCCACATTATCAGACCTTTAAATATATGAGAGAGAGAGAGAGAGAGAGTTTTGATGTGAACTTACAGAATATTTGCTCTTTGCTCATCAGGCTCGTATAGAAGTATATGCGGTCTCCAAATAAATGTTTTTGAGGATGTAGAGCAAGTCCGTGATATATAGTCATACCATGGTACAAAATGACTAAAGTACCCTTATTTCTAGGGCGAGGCGAAAAACCTCACAAATCTCCCTTTTATCGTCTAAGTAGGCGTGCATCACATCTCCCTAACCGCACCGCTCTTACCACTAGCTCTATTTAAAATATGGACCTGAATAGGGCTCAAAGTGGTGTATATGTATAATGATCTCATGTTATAATATAATGAAACCCAACTTCTAAAAAATTATATTTGAGGCATTTGTATGATCTAAACTTTGCATAAGTAATTATTGGGTCTTAACAATCAATCCCAATTTAAGAAATTCAATTTACATATTAGAAATATTCAAAATATGCCCCCTTCATCGATGAATTATAAATGTCTATTTGGCGAATTATAAAATCTAGGCCTTTAGAAAATCAAAGTATTTTTTTTTTAGTCTTTGTTTTAATAATATAACAAAGCCATCTATAAAATTTGGAAAAGAAAAAAAAATCATTTTAAGACCTAGAATTAAATATCTCACTAAATAAACAACCCATATTAAATGGGTTAAAAAATCATTTATTAGTGAATGCTTTAAATATTTATTTATTGGTGATTGTTAAAAATAGTACATATCTAAAAATTGTAGTAAAACAAATGACCTCTGTATAATTTGTGAAGATTGTTTGCAAGAAATCCCTGACCATATATATACATAGAAAAAAGCTGGGGAACATGGGGTAGAGAAACGTCCATATTGGACGATCCTTTTTTGTCTCCTCTCACCCAATTTAAAAGAACATCCCACTTTGTTCACTGCAAGTTTACAAAGCTACCCCTGACAAAACCCTCTCTCTCTTTGTCTATGTCTACCTCTTTGTCTATGTCTACAGCACACACCACTTTCTCTACGTCTCTTTCTCTCTTCCCTTCCCTTGCAGTAGCAATGTGGGTTCTCCATTTCCCCCACTCCCCTCCCCTCCCCTCCCCTCACTATTAGCCGCTAAGGTTGACAATTTGGAAGGTGCACCCTTACTATCCTTTGAAATAATCCTTTTGATGTTGAAAAAATATCTAATTCATCATATCAATGTATAAATATAGAGGAAATTTTTTTTTTAAGTCCTACAAATAATACATCTTACATCACATTATCTGGACCGTCCATTTTTTAAATTTTCATGCGTTTGCAGATTTGCTTGATTTAAACCGTTTATGAAATTTAAAATTTTATAAAAAGACATGAAAATATATTCTTGCACCATTCTAAGAATTTTCGACACTATATCTCATGACAAATCTTAGAAGTGCACTTTTATTTTGATCGTTTAATGTTGCAACTTTATATAATACTTTATAATAAATCACGCCATATACATGCCCAAACACCTAGGCCCGGCCCGAGATTATTTTGTTTACCGGTCCCCACCTGAGCCAGTTGTGAATTGTATCCTCAATTTGGAGCTAGCTAGAATGCCAACGGGCTGGCTTGGGTAGGGCTAGCAAGGAACCCATTGGCACGGCCCAGCTCACCCGGCCCAGCCCTAAAAAAATAGGGCCTAGCCCACAAAAATGTAGCCTAAGAGCTAGGCTAGAACAACGCTACAACGGCTCGAGGACAGGCGGCGGTAGGTGGCTTGGGTCGCACTCAAGCCGGCCGTATGAGGCCGGGCTAGGGCTAGGATTGGGGCTGGCCCTTTCTAACGTCTAGGGCCGGCCTTGTTGGCAGGCTTGGACATGAATGCTCATTTTCAGGAAAGTGACTAAGATGAATATAATTCTACGAAATGATAGGGAACTTTCAAGAAAAGAATTGACCTTTGACGAAGGGCATTTTTATAATTTTAGTAAATGATGAGACGTTGTTCAGCTTTTGAGGGAATTGTAACGTGAGGTAAGCGAAACGTGCGAGGCGAAGTCTCCAAAGGCGACGCCTCGGCTGAAATGGCTCCACGCTTTTGGTGCTCACTATATTTCCTATAATGTCCTCCTAATATATATAAAATATCGATGCTTGTTCCTACATTTTTTAAATCGAAGTTATTGGTTGTTTCATGCTCGCCTCCATGTTAATTATAATATAATCACAACTAGTCATGGAAAATAAGGTCATTTTGAGCGGGTATTTGTGGCGATCGAACTGGTTCCCAATGAGAATTGGGAATTTGTTTTACTTTGCCGATTGAGTTAAGTTTTATAATAGAATCAAATAAGTCTCTTAGAGAATTGGGTGATCTCGATTAGCAGAATTATATATATATATATATATATATATATGGTGCACCGGTTCGTGTATCGATAAACAGTAAATATCGAACGGTCCAGATCGAATATGGGCCGATCTGACGATCACAAATGTTCGTTAGTGTTTTATTTTTCACTTTTTTTTTACAAATCAGAATGATCTGAAATTTAAAACGTTTATTCATAAAAAAATAGGTGAATCTATGAAAAATATAAAAAAATAGTTTATCTGAAATAATTTGACCAAAATACCCTTGAAACGTTTTAAGGGTATTTTGGTTAATATTTTTTCGATAATTATTTTTTTTATATTTTTATTAAGTTTGCCTCACTGTTGGATAACCTTGATCATCATATCGGCCCAGATTCGATCTAGGCTGTTGGACGTTTACTGTAGCGTTACACACA